CCAAGCTCGAAGCTGGAAGTCGAGTTTCCTCTACCTTCAGTACCAGGCCTATTGCTGCTCCTCATCCACAATTTTACGTTATAAATTCGTTCATCTAGCTTTCAAGTGTTCTGGTGTCGATCCCGCTGCTGACGAAGAAGCAAAAATAGCTTCTTTGTATTTGTGCAAAGATCACCCGCCTCTTGGAGGCTTACATTCGTCCAAAGGACAGCTCAAAACTCCAAGCAAAGTCAGCGTGAGAAGAAAGGAAAGCAAGCTCAAACTCGGTCTCAAGTCACCTTTCGAGGTTACAGTGTTTTCCGATGGGAACCTCAGTCCATCAATGACCGTTCGAAGTGCCAGATGTCAGCGAAGCCAGCTCGATAAGGCTGGCGCAGTAGCCAGAAAAACCTTGTAACAAGTAGCGGCATTGGTAGCAGCGCTCTGCATCTAGTAGTCATCTTGGTCACTTACTCGAGTACTTGAGCACATTCTTTGTTCTCGAGCATGCTTTTCCCTCTACCTCTAATAGAATATATTTCAGCAGGGCAGGCCTTTCGGTCGCGGCAAAGTCAACGGCTCTGTATCAGCCGACTTTTCGTAGGTGAGGGAGGAAGTTGGTAAGCAGAACCCACGATCACTCTATGGATGTAGGTGAGTGGAAGGGTCCGTCTACACGGGCCTAAACCACCCACCTGCCTAACCCCCTTACCAAATCCTTTTCAGCCTTCTGCCTGAGTGATCCAACGCTCTCCTCCTCCGAAGACAACAGACTACAGCGACTCGTAGGTCGTGTCTTGACGAAGGACAACACAAACCCTGTTCTCTTGTCTTTAACCTCCAAGGCAACAGCTCAAGAGGTTTTGTTTGCGCTCCAGCGCCGAGCCCCTGTGACCTTCTCCTACGAAAACCATCTCCTCACGACACAATAGGTATCTCACGCCCACTAAGGTCGTACCAGTGTTCCTGTAACGGAGCTTGGCGAAGTAGGCGATGGTTCTTTGACCAGGAGACTGCGTGGGCTTCTCGGAGCACTGTCCGGGACTTGACGACGGTGTCGATCTGGTGAGAAAAGATGGCGGCGTGGCGGAGGGGAAATACAGGCACTATGGGCCTGGGTATCCACCCTCGCTGGCAGATAGATTTGTGTTGACTGTCATGACATGTGCGAAAGGAACAGATCAGGTTCTGCTGGGTAGATACTTCAGCTTTCAAGCTCTAGTGAATCGCGTGTTTGCGTGCACTGCAGCTCGAACATTGGCTTCTGAATGATAAGGTGTGAGGCAACAAACGGTTCAACAAACCGCGGGTTCGGCTTGTGTTGAGGGGAGGATCATGGAGATTCTGTCAATTTCGTTCCTTTTACCAGCACGTCAGCGGCCTTCTTGGACCGGCTTTTCAGGATAACTTGCCTAGAAGATGGACTGGTTCAAGCCTCCTACCTACTCAATCATTCCCTTCATAGCCCAATCGACAAATGCAAAGATCAGAGTCTTCCTGGTGATGGTACTTTCCTTGTGCAATATCGTCCAGCTTACGGACAAGAGATAGCTAGGAGAGTTATTTAAGAATAGACAGAGGTGAGTTACACTGGGACGGTGTTGTAGGCGGGGAGCGGTGGGTTGGTGCGGCTCGGCGGTGCTGTCGGTGGTGCAAGTACCAGAAGCCGCAATTACGTCATGGACATGATCAAAGCAATCTGCAGCTGGCCATGAAGACGCACTAACGACGTGACACAAGCGGGGGAGAAAATCATGCCGCAATTTGGCTTCCCCAAGGGGGGAGACAGCATATTCTGCCGTTGGTGAGAGCATTGAATCGCATCTGGACGTTGGGGTGCTGGAGCTTTCCCATTGCCCCACTGCTCCAGCCACAGTCGTCTTGGAACTGCCCTTACCATACACACTCTCACTCACCACCCGGCACTCTTACATGTTCTTGTCTCATTGCTGGTGTTCCAAAATCTCGTGACCTATGTAAGATGGTAAACTTCCACACTCCAGTCAGTCTGTTGGGCATTTCCCAGTCGTTGAAGCTGAGCGACTGGGGTTGCTTTGAAATTGCAACTGGTGCGATAGGAATGCGCTTGCATTATGTAAGCGTGGCGGGTGGTGGCTGAGGACGGCTGTGGCGGGCCGAGTTTGGGCGTTCATTAAATCCAAGGCTTTTTCGTTTTGGAAATAAAATTTACCACTTACGGCTCTTCTCGCGGACTCCCAAGCTCCCTAGTAGGAATTATGGTACATGCAAAGTCATCATAGGCTCTGCAGGCCAAAAAGGACTGGCTGCCAATAGTTGGGAGGTGAAAGGGGTTCTTAAGGCTATTGATATCACACCGCGTCTTTCCTGTCTCTGTTGGATTCTGAGCAGTTTGGCAGAAAAGGTCTGGTGGAACTGGAAGGCGGTCAGGCCCACAAAAACGGCCCTTCCACCTACCTTACCTTCCATATTTGTACACCATCTCTAATCAGGCCACGCCCCACCCACATATCAGGTCACCAGGGAGCCGGGAACGTCAGGTCAGCTACACGTACTTGGTGCCTCTGGAGGAGTGGCTCGCCCACTTCCTCCTTCCAACTGCATAAGGTACTCCGTTCGCAGCAATGAACACCATTTTATTGACCCTTCATGCCAAACGCACGGTTGCTCTGCTAGTGTGTGTACCAATGTGTCTTTTCCTTTCACTTTGTCATTGGTTTGGTGTATTTCCCGCGTTTCCCTGGAAGCTTGTTCGACTCTGGTACCAGTTCTCCACCCCTTCACAATCCGGACCGACATAGTTCTCTCTTTGCCCCGGGCCGAGCCTTAGTGGGTAAGGCACTCGCCGTTCAGAGCCAAAGATGGACGAAGACCCACTCCACTGTTGGCCAACCGCGACCACCATTCGTTTCATTCACCCCAAATGACGGAAGTAATGCACATGATGTTTCCGATTCAATTTTCCTCGCTGTCACAGTTGACCTAGAGCCTAGACAGACAATGAAATGCTTGGGTAGCACTCCTGTCGAGTTGTTGGATCGTCCTAAGATCTCGAAGAAGACCATCTGGGATACCATAGCTACCAGATCATGTCTTGCGTCAAGACTGTATGATCATGAATGATGATTTTCGCCTATCCATACTTGCTGATCATCCTGCCCTCCAAGTCACATCCCTGATACGCGGTGGGTCTAGTTCATAACGAATCGGCCAAGAGATGTGGTTCCAATGTGAGTTCCCAGCGCCCTGCTGCTCGCCTTGCCAACTCCCCACTCCCGCAGTTGCATTCTATTCATTCGTCCGTATCCATACATTCGCAGGTTTCCTCTGGCCCAGAACTCAGAGGAAGCATCTGATTTTCCGTCACCCAAGCCCAAGAGCGATGAACAATTTCAACGCTAGGTTCCAAGGAAACTTCTCCCTTCTTGATCACGGCATCCCAGAGCAGGTGCTAGTCGAGTCGAGTGGCCAGAAAGTGCAGGAAGGTGACTTCACTCAAGAGCCACCAGTCCCTTTCCACAGACCGCAACAACAAAGTTCCGCACCCGGCCGGACGCAAGAGAAGACAAGCAATTACTCACAAGCAACCAGCGAGAGGCCAGAGAAAGACGTAGTAGGAAGGGAAGAAACACGTATGAACAAATCTCTACAAATGCTCTAATCACTCCGACGATACCAAATTTACCGAGAGAAAGCTGAAATCCCCCACCCTAAGAAGGGACAATTTTGAGGTGGTAGGTTCCATTCAAGGGACTCACGCACGAAGCCACTCATTCCTCCTGCGCATAGAAAGGTGCGTCTTCCGAGTACCTGTCAAACTGCAGCTCAAGGAAGGTGGTTTCCTCAAGATCGATCGCGAGGTAAGGTAGATAGGTGGCAGGTGACAGCCCGGTGTGCGGATCGGGTACCTTCCATTCCTTCCACTTTCTTGCAATCAAAGTATTCTGAGGTGGCAGGCGCCAGTGAAGGGACTACCGTTCACACAATGCCACCCGTTCCTGTGTGGGAAGTTGTGCCTTCCGAGGAGTAAACCGCAGCTACCTTCCATGGTTTCCTCAACCTAAAATCGGTCGCAAGGTACCTGCCTTACACACATTAGGAAGCAGGTGCCAGTGGAGTCACCGTCATCCAGCCCAACACAACATCCCGGGTACCTTCCTCCCGCTTTCTTGCAGTCATACCTACCTAATGTCTCAATCAGGTCGATTCCTGAGATAGGTAGGAAAGGCAAGGTCTCTTGGTCATTGTTTCCTTCACCAATTTCATACACTTTTCGTTTTCTTTTCCCGTTTTCTAAGATGTAGATCCCTCAATCCATCCACCAACAACCACATCTCTCTCTGGCCAGCCCTTCGACACCCACGGCATTCATCACGTCACCATACTGAATCTCTTCACTTTGCACATGAGCAGGGCAACCGTACGGTTGGCACAAAGGGTCAGTACAGTAGTGTTCATTGCTGCGGCTGAAGGTGCAAGGGCTGTTTGTATGGCCCAAACCACCTGCCAGATCCACCAGACCTTTTCTAACCGCTGCCCAGAATCCAGCACTTCCAGCACCAATACCTCTTTGACACCTCTCTTGGAGCGGAGTATGCCATGCAGAATATCAGGGTGACAACGCTGAGATGTACCCATACCTCCCGCGAGCCCACCAACATGACTCCCATCTCCAAAACGAGAATCATCGAAGCACAGAGTAATCTGAACAGGACGCCGTCCTGGGCCCTGTCCTGTCCCGCAGCAACATTCATACTCGTTGCACACGATACACAGTACCCCGCGACAGCAGAGAAGCCTTAGCTCTTACCCAGATAAGACTGTCCCTGCCTCAAGCCAAGAAGATTCTGGCGAAACAGGCCAAGGCGAAGAGATCAAGCTACGGCATCGTCGACGCTGGAAGCTCATAGGACAATGATGACTTCGATAATGACTACACATCACTCAGCCTCGTCACACTCAACATCCGATTCCCCGTCACAACCCAGGAGCCTCAGCTCATTCAGCAACCCATTGAAGGGGCCACCCTTTAGTCCATCAATATGCTCGAAAGGTAGGTCAAAGCGAAGAGATTAAGCCATGGTATGAGCACACATGCTAACTTCTGAAACAGTCCTTGGGTTGCCGTCGAATTGAATCCTTCAGACGGTCATGTTGAGAATCCCTTCTTAGCCAGCATGAACCCCGAGCAAATGCACCGTCTGCACCGACGGATTAGGTTGGTATACACGTCAGCAGGGCAGACCTTTCGGTCGCGACGAGGTCAAAAGTTCTTATGGGTCTACTGTGCGTAGTGGGAGGAGGAAGTTCGTAGGCAGAGCCTGCGATTTCTCAGTGGAAGTAAGTAGGTGGAAGGGTCCATCTGCGCGGGTCCAAACCGTCTTCCAGATCCATCTCTTCTGACGACTGACCAGAATCCAACAGCACGCGTCTGCACCGGCGGATTACCTTCTTCAAAGCGAAGGAGTAGCACCACTTCGTGCTTCATGGGAACGGGTTGTGAGGCAAGAAGTTCAGGTCACTGCCAAGACAACTCGAGTCTGTCGGTGAGGGTCATCCCGATAAGATCGCCGATCAGGTCTCTAATGCCTTCCCTCGACTCCTGCTCCGGAGACGATACTTTGGCGGCAACGTTATGTCTCCTGGCCAAGTTGCGCAATTCGAGTGTGTCGCCAAGGAGTGCCAATACGAGCGCACATACCGTAAGCCGCACACAACTTCATCCGGAGTGACCTCAAGTGGTTCGAGTTCCGGGACGAGCGAACGACGAGACCGCAGAAAGACATAATTATGAATACAATGCATTTCAATGGAATGTACAATCACAACAGCCTCAGTCAAGATCTGAACAGAAGCTCCACATGAGTAGTCTCCAATGATTGGATGGATCACGGAGGACAATCTGGTGTTGATTGGCGCTGGACACGATGCCAGATGGGAGAAGTTTGTTTGTTTATTGTTTGTTTGTTTTATTGTTTGTTTTATTGTTTGGTTTTATTGTTTATTCTTTTATCTTATTGTTCATCGCGATGGGAGAAGTTTGTGATATCCAAGGGAGAGGACGGACGCCGATATGTCATGCGAGAAGGCTGGAAGCGATACTTGGGTAGCGCTTCATGACGGGGCGTCCCTCAAGCTGGCTCGTGAGCAGCCTATTCCTCCCGCAAGTCCCATTCGGGACCTCATGTTCAAGGTCGCTTGCGAGACCGCCACCGAGGCCACCCAAACGGTCATGGTTGCTGGAAGCTCCCAGGACACAGAAGATCTCAAAGAGCTTGACTGTATCTCCTGGTCAAGTTGCGGTACTTGCGCTGGTGTTGCCAAGGAGCGCCAATACGAGCGCAAGTACCGCAAGCCGCATACAAAGGCATCAGAAGTCGACCTCAAGCAGTTCGAGTTCCAAAATGAGCAGCCCATTCTTCCTTCAACTGTTTTCTTTTTTGCTGGTCCGCACGTCAGCAGGGGAACCGTTCGGTCGGCACGAAGGGTTAATAAAAGTGGTTTCTATTGTTTCGTACGGGAGTGGAAGGAGAAGGAAGTGGACAGGGCCCACGGTTCCTGCATTGGGTGTGGCTGGTGTCGGGCATCAAAGAAGCACGCTCTCCTACAACGAAAAGTACGCACGCAACCGGAGGCAAGAGACAAATAGCTACAAACTTCCGACACGCCCCATATTATTCTCGTCATTATTCTTCTTCCAGGCATTGTGAGTAGCCTTATTCTTGAAGGAATACACAAGAAGTGAACTGGGGACGAGACAACAGGGACAGCGGCAGTTGTAGAAATAGAGACATAGAGCGGGATGATTGACATTTATCTCCCCATCCGGTGGTCTAGGTATCTTATGGGAAGGTCGAATTATGAGACTCCATCTTGCTTTCTGAACACCGAGCGCCCGTAACTCCTTCACGTATGATTCCACGACGTCGCCTTCTCTAAGATGGACAGTTTACAAATCCGTTGAGTATCCGAGCCAAGAATTGAACCCAACCCAGAGGGAAGCGCGTATTTCACGTTTGATGGTCTGCCGCATGGAAATGGGTTGAGCGGCAAGATCGTTGGGGTCGAAGCAAGTCCTGACTTTTGGCTCATGCCAGCAAGTGGGGTGCACTACGATTTTCCCTGCTCCAACTGCCCGTCTTTCAAGGTCGCGATTACCACAATTGGGAATCCGCAATGCGTTTGAGCTGCTCATCTGTGGAAGCTCCCGGCATACGCCTGATTGCCAGTCCTTGACAGGCTTCAACTGTTCGCCATTAGTAGTTCGTGGCGGGCTGATAATTGCAAATTCTCGTTGTATTGACCAGGCGCGAATAGCCTCTAGCCGGGTTGGTTTGGTTGATTATGAGTGTAAAGTAATCACTGCTCCACATAGTCCCGACCTCGATGCACAGGACCCTCGCCATCACCTCATCACAACCCTTCGTCATCCCCATCAGTGCGGGGCGTGGGCTCTCCATTGAGGCCGAGACGGGTGTCGCTATCCTCGAGCTTCAACTGGTCGAGAGTGTACACAATTTAACAACGTGGATGGCTCAATGCAATGCAAGGCTTGACAATAATCATCTTGCACGTGTCGGAACAGGGTTCAGGACCTGACTAAACAAGGACTGATCCGTCAGCGAATGGATTGTCCCAATGCCAGCCGATTTTGTGTTAGCTCTCATCTGCACTTATTAGTTGCGACAACGCGGCTACGAATCCACCACTGCGTACGCTTTCAAAGACCTTGATATGAACTTGGGCCTGGCAGGGGCCATTAGTTGATCCATCTGTAACTGGCGATGTTGGTCACGATTTGCCCACGCAAGGTCGCGCGCCCATGTTCATATACCGGCATGGTTGAGGTCCAACCCCAACGAACAAAAGTCAGTCATACGCTGTGATCAATCGCTTCAAGATGCTTGATGTGGAAGCATACTAACCGAGGCGGACGCGATAAGACTGTTGAAATATTGACGGCAGAAAAGGGGGTTCGGAAGGTGGTCGATCCATTGCAAACAGCACTTCCATACCCACTTGCACCCAATGGCGGAACCGTGGGATCTGCCCACCGACTTCCTTCCTCCATGCCACATTTGCAGTTCAATGCGATTATTGCACCTCGTGCCGGCCGAAAGGACTTGCCCTGCTGACGTGTATACCAAAAGAGACCTGGATCAGGCCCCAACCGAGTCGAGAACTCTCTGGCGCGTTTGGCCATTTGCATATCCGTAGCCGGAGTCTGTGCACCACGACCCGAGCACTCTCGTATGTAAAATTTTTTGAACTGAAGGAGGGTCGTTCTGAACGATCGCTTGCGAACAAGGCACGGCGTCGTCTTGTTTCGAAGGCGGGAGAGATTGCATGGACTACAATGTGGCATTCGACAGATGTTTTCAAGAGGGCCACTTCTCTTGTAGCTACTTGAAAACAGCTAAGACCCTGTACGAGATGGTGCGAACGTGTAGACGCAGGAGCGCAGGTCTTGCCCGTCCGATAGAATATACATGAAGAGTTATGTGAGACTAAGACCATGCGCGCCATGATCCTCATCTCGACCATGGAATTGAGAAGTGAAGAGCGATAACGAGAAGACCGAGAAGAAGATAATGAAAAAACGCATGTGCCTTGAGCCACTCCCACCTTCATGGTCTACCAAGGACCCCTCGGTGACCTCATCAATCATTCTGGCCATCTTGGCATATAGTCATACCTCCAATATGATGCTGATTGACATTGAACATGTTTTAGGATGACTCATGTCGATCAATACGTAAGTAGGCGCGCCCTCACGCGTGGAAGTTGTGCAAGATGCTTCTATGGCTTGACGAAGAACGCGTGCTTTCGGCAATCTTTCTTTCTAGAATCCAGTCGGGCTATTCTTGTGCACTGATTCATCGAATTGCCAATAGAAATGCTCCCTGTCGCTACTATCACTCACTTTGTATTGCAAGTATATGTCTCTCTCTGGAAATCCTCACCAAGCGAAAGAACACCCAAACTCCTGGTCCAACGTGTCTTACAGTATCCAACAGCACCACTTTGTTACCTTGACTTATCATGGACACATCCCGATGTTCTAGTCCAGCAGGTGATTGTAATTACCTTGGCATGCTCGTGATTCTACAAAGCACATAAGGCCAAGGCCAGCAGCAAGCAGGATATTTTCTTGGAAGGTTTGAGTCGGGCAATGTCGAACAAGTAATGTTCTATGACACCTCTCCTCTCTCATGAGATTTTCTTCTTCTCTCTCACATTTTACTGAAATAAAATTCATTTCAGGCTTGTTTACACCTCAGTCTTGGGATTGGGATTGCTAGGATATCAGGGCTTTCCATATGATTTGTCTAATTCTCGTCCTTATGTCCTCTGTCCTCTATGGTCTTAGCCGCTTGGTCGGTATTTCGTTGGTGGTTGATCGCATAGATCTATATTCCCTGGTGATTCTGGGAGCAAGAAGTGCTTTCCCTGATGATGGATTCGAAGTGATTTGCCTGAACTCTTGCCATCCTCCACATTTCTAGAGATGGCTGTAATGCGCATTTCTCTCCGCCACGGAAATGATTGAGGATGTGACTAGGCCTCGTTGATGGTCGTGATCTTACGCAGACAGTAAGTCACGTTTGTGTCTTCCTTGCTCTCACGGTCATTGTTCTATTCATACTCATAATTGCGGCTACGATGGTCTCATGGGTCAGGCTAAGCTGTGACAAATCAAAGTGACGTAAAAAGTCACTTGTGAAGTCAGTCTATTATAGAATAGCGAGCTGATTCGATTACCTTCCTGTAATGTTGTGATGAGATGTCTGTGTTATCGTGCTTGATCCTCTCTTGTCTAGATAACTTAATGCAAGACGTCTGTCTGAGAGATTCTTTTTCTTTGATAGGAGTTAACTTGTTGAGCTAGGCGATATCTCATGAGCAAGCAATTCAATGCTTATCTCCCTTTGATTCGGCATAGGTCCCCATCATCCAACCTGAAGGCTACCAAGTTTGAGCTCACACATAATAAGTTATTTTAAAGGCTCGGATGACCCGACATACCAAGATCCTTTCCATGTGCACAATGCCAACATATCAACCCACGAAATGCTGGAGAGTCCAGAAAATCAGCCGCTCATCATCCTCGATGGTACTGAATCCCTCTCGGGGTGCGGAACTACAGAATCGCTGCTCAAGAAGAAGCTCAAGGCTGTCAGGGCTGATATTGGACCTTCATTTTGGCCCATGTTGAGTTGAAGAGTGGCCGTCTCGGTTTGGTTTAGACGCTCTTCTCTTGAAAACGCTTGCCGCCTTCTAGGTTTTCGTATGTGGTACTTTGTCTAACTCTCCATTGCCGAATATGAGGTAACGAAAGAATGTGATACAAGCTCTATTATTGGGGAGCATAGCAACGTGTATCATAGTTATCGCAATGTAAAGATTCATAAAAGTGAGAACATGAAATGCTGTGAAACGTGATAGCTTCCGGCGGTCGACCTTATGATTCGTACAATTACACTTCCAGCTTTCAAGCAGTAAACCGTCACTCTCTATCTCTTCAAGCAGTATCAATGATCGCCAGAATTAGCACAGTCATACAGCAGGCACGTATGGAATATTCGCAGCGGTCGAGACCATTGATGAACCTCGGCTTTCACTAACATGAGAACGCACAGCCAAGAAGTTAGCAGTAAACTCAATGAGGTGATTTATGCATTATTTCCATCTAAAGGCTTATAGGAAAGCCTTTGGATGCGTGAGGCAACCTCTTGAGCCAACATTCATAGCGCCATGTTTTTCCGAGAGACGCATCGAGATACGGGTTTTCTTGTTCTTGTCATCTTCTGCGATGTCCATTGGCCAATCATTACGTACAGTCTGCTTGCTAGCCTTTCTCGAATCGTCCGCGAAGCCATCCTCCCCGACTGCGCCTTCGGGTTCAGTTCCCGTGGTCACAAAAGTCCATGCCTGACTCGGACCAAGGCATCAGCCATGACGGAACTGTCATGCTAGCTGTATAAGCCTTTAGCAACGAGAACAAGACTAGGTCGCATGAGTTTGAGCACATAATCAGACGCTTGCAACTCGATCATTCTACGGAATCAACACCGCCCATCATGAGCGTGTTGTATAATTTAGAAGAGATCCGTGGCCTCAAGGCCGTGATAGTGAGCTTCACAAGTCGCACCAGCGCGTCCCCGTGTTCTCTGGGCGCTGATTATGATGTCCTACGCTCCTTATGAGTGAGCGCTTGCAGGTCGCCAGTGTTGCATGAGGCAAGTTGATGTATTCATTATGCCCCATTTACCCTAACCCCGTGCTCGACTTCATGACTCTGACAGAGTCAGTAAACCCGTTGGCGCTGACGGACTTCTCCATGACAATCCCTTTATTTCCTTCCAAACTTACTTCTCAATAACGAGAACAGCTTTCTAGGATATATGAATTCCTTGAAATCACTTGACCTGCTTACCCTTGCGTGAATTAGTCTCACAGAGACCCTATTCCTGACCGAGTTTTGTTGTCAAAAGATGTAAGCAAGGCGAGGTGCGATGGAATAGTAGGAATATTTGGAATCACTGGTGAGCTTCTTCGAGGCATACGAGCACACGGAATCAAAGTGAAGGTAAGCCGTCATGATGTGATAGCTGCACGCTTAGATGAACGACAAGAATGCTTGGTAGCACATCTGGAACGTAGCCTGAAGCAGTAAACCTGGCCACGTCCAGAAAATGCTACATCTAGCCTGGTCTCCTGTCAAGGTAGAGGTGACACCTATGATATGTAAGATTGATCTCGCGCCGCTCTCGCAAGAGTGTTCAAGCTAGTGACAGTATCACCAGCGCAAGGCTGAAGCCGCTCAAATCGTACTCTAGTTGACTGCTGACTGCAGTTTGCTGGCTGGCTGCTGCAGGGATTGCCGACAGCGCTAGCAGTAAATGCCTGATTAAAGCAGCATTATGTACGTGACTGTTGTACTACAAGTCACGCCGGCCTGATTATCATAGTCAAGGTTTCAGAGTCGAGTAGTCAACTTCATCATAACTCACATTCCGTCGTCATGAATACTTTACATAGACTAGAGCGAAACTTCCCAACGTCGTAGAGAGAACTCTGAGTCAATGCTACAACTGATTTGGTATAGAAATTAAGAGCTCAACATGGAGAAGCAGTAGAGCCACACAGAACGCTGACGACCTTACTGAGAAGTCCCTTCCAAAGCTAGAACGACATTCGAGACCCCCTGTAAGAACAAAGTGGAAACTTCTTGACATTCAAGATTCGATTCGATTGAATGACCACTGCGTAAACGCACATGATATTAGGGCACATTGAGCAGTATCATTTGCCTATTGGGGCAACAGTCCAGTTACATAGCTAATTGGAGCTCTTATGAGGAACTTTCAATCCTACATCCTCACTACTACACCCGCCACAGGCGATCAAGCTCACTTGCCTACCAGCGTTCACGTACTTATGTATATATCAGGGCCTGGGTTACAATCGCCCACTCATCGTAACTACATCATACACTTCAAGTACTAATGGTTCCCTGAGCACGGTGCTTAGTAACTGGATCTCGATTATATGTATTGCGCTGTTACGTGTGAGGTGTTGTTGCCCAGCTTCCATTT